CCAAACCTACCCTCCTATACTCTCCTTTGTGATGCTCATGCTGAGATATTGAAAACCACATTTTCCTCTGCCTACTGGCTCCCTGTTAGATTCTGCCAGTAGGAGGCATGGTGAGCCTTGTTCTGGGAGTGGCAGAAGACCAGAAATTGCAACCAGGGTGAAGAACCATTGCTGGGGTGATGCAAACAGCAAGGAGTACGTCTTTCCTCCTGCCTTATTGATTCCCTCATGGGTTCTTCATCCTAGCTCCAAAGGTACCAGTACCAGCTGACAGCACTCCCCTTTTGAGGTCTGAGTCCTAGCTCCTTGAGGTAACGCCAGCCTCTTCCTTTTCTTCTCCGGCCCTAGGTAGTTATCCTGCAAAAAGTGTTCCCTGTTTGCTTTTTTAGTCCACTAATGCCTGTGTTATTAGTTATCCCCTATACTACATTCCCCTGTTAAAATAACTGTTTATTTTCATTTCTTCCTTCCTGATTGGACCCTGATTGATACAGGTGGACTGATGGGCATTGACTAAATCCAAGGATGCCTGTATTTATCCTATCTAGTATGTTAGTATTGATTTCACACATATCTGTAAAGGATTACCTGTTTTAACTCCAGAAATCTTTGAAATTAGGGTTCTTATGGGCTATTATAGAATCAGGAGTCAGTAAACTTAAGTTCTAACCCCAGTTCTGTCATTGGGTTCCATACCCTCTCTTGGCCTCAAAGTAATTATATAAAAAGGATGACAGTACCTACCTCTCTAACTATTGCTAATTATTACTAGTAATAATACTTCTCTCCTGGGGTGTGCAGAGGGACGAGACAGGATGAACCGTGGATACAAAAATTGCTCCAAATTGCACATATAGCTTATAGAAATAAGGTGATGGTGTGATTTATGAATTCTCTTAGCCAGACACACCCATTGGATTTTAGTTACTAATCCTAAACTTGTGTTAAAGAAGTATTAGCTCATTGAGGGGACTTCCCTGGTGGCGCAGTGGTTAAGAATCCACTTGCCAATGCAGGGGAAATGGGTTCAAGCACGGGTCCGGGAACATCCCACAGGCCTCGGAGCAACTAAGCCTGTGCGCCACAACTACTGAAGCCTGCACGCCTAGAGCCCGTATTCCGCAATGAGAAGCCCACGGACCACAACAAAGGGTAGCCCCTGCTCGCCGCAACTATGTGCAGCAACAAAGACCCAACACAGCCAAAAATAAATAAATAAATATTTTTAAAATGTTTAAAAAAAAGTATTAGCTCATTGAACACCTGCCTTTGTAGCTGTTGCATTTTGTGTTAAGCTTGGTTTGAAGTAAATGGAATTAGCTAATTGATTCCATCAGTGGTCCAAGTGATAGCACAGCGATATAACTCACCTTGCCAGCCCCAAGGGAGCGAGAGTCTTAATTGGTGACAGGTCCTCTGTGGGAGATGCACCATTTGCACCATCACTCATCCCCATGGGCCTGTCTGGGCCCTCATCTTCCACTGTCTCCAGCTCATGCACTCTGCTCAGCTGCACTGGCCTCACAACACTGACCCGCTTTCACCCAGAGTATGTGTGCTTTATTAGCTTGGATCACTCTTCCCCAAGACATTTATATGTCTTATCACCTCACTTCACCTGACTTCTCGGACAGTCAGGTATTCCTGAATACTTTGTATAAAAATTTTTGTTCTGTCCTGGTCATTCTCTAATTTTAGTTTGCTTCATTTTTCTTTGTGACACTTAGCACTACCTGTTAGCACATATCTGTTTGTTGATTTACTTTCTGCCTCCCTGGCTGGGAATGTAAGCTCCATTAGGGTGGGGACTTTGTCCATTTTGTTTGCCATTATATTCCCAGAACCTGAAGCAATGCCTGGCACGTAGTAGGCCCTCAGAAAATACTTGACAGGTTGGGACTTCCCTGGTGGTCCAGTGGTTAAGACTCCACGTTCCCAGTGCAGGGGGCCTGGGTTCGATCCCTGGACAGTGAACTAGATCCCGTGTGCCACAAGTAAAAAAAGATCTCACGTGCCGTAACTAAGACCCAGCACAGCCAAATAAATAAATGTTAAAAAAAAAAAAGGAAAAGAAAATATTTGACAGGTTAATGAATGGATTTAACAAGTAGATACCAGTTATGGTGCTGTGCTGGATCTCTGTCCTCTGTGAACATGGCGTAAAAGTGTGCTGGCTTCTTGCAAAAAGATCTTTCTTAACCGACATCTTCTCCTTGAGTTTAAGTCTGGACATTTTAGTCCTGGAAAGAGGATCAGATTTGAAGTCAAAGATGTGGTTTCATATCCTGTCTTTACCAATAGTAGCCATACTCCATAAATCCCTTAATCTCCCTGAGCCTTGGTTTTCTCATATATACAATGGGGATAGTACTTGCTCTGCTTACCTTCGCCTTATTGTAAAGGTCAAATGAAACGTGTTTCTCTCCCTCTCAGACTGTGTTAGAGTCTGGATTCTTCTGGCATTTCCCTCCTGGTCACTCTCCTCTCTTGCAAGTTGTTGATCTTTGTCTTCCTATCCAACCCTAAAGATCCAGAAAAGCCATGAATCCACTACAGAGAGTTAACCTGATTTGTTTTCCAAATCTTCCCAGATACCAACTGAAAAAAATTCACAGGAAGACAAGCCTGTGAATTCACAGACTCTTTTCCATCCTACTCATAATTGCTAATACATAATTGCCTCGGTAACCTGATCGTCAGCCATGGTAACAGATATCCCTCGCCTACACCGGCAAAGCTGATGTAACAGGACAGAGAAAATAGTATCCAACAGAACAGAGAGGGTAGGTTTCTCTATAACAAGGCCTAGGATAAGGACATTATTGTCTAGAAGGAAAGAAATGATTGAAAGGTTCTGAAAACTGAGATATCTCCATCTCAAACGACCTTACTAGCCTGAAAAAGAACAAAGAATCTCTTCCCCCACATAAAGATATGGTGGAAAACCAAATGAATCAGTACATGGGGAATTCAGATGGGAATGCTGATACCCCATAGCAGAATCCTTCTGGGAACCTAAAGTGGAAAAGGATCAGTTGTAGTAACAAGACCCCGAGTTGTGGCAAGGAATCATGTCACCAGTGATCACATTTCAGTGAGTCTTTCCTGCTAGTCATTTTAGGGTCATTTTAGGGTCACTATGAGGTGAGACTGGATTCTGATGTTTTTTAAGGATCTGTGATTTGTGTTTTTCCCTCCTTGGATCTCTGTTTTCCCTACTTTTTTTTTTTTAGTATTTATTTATTTATTTTTGGCTGCATCAGGTCCTAGTTGCAGCACTGGGGCTTCTCTCTAGTTGTGGTGTGCAGGCTCAGGAGTTGCGGCCCGAGGACTTAGTTGCCCTGTGGCATGTGGGATCTTAGATTCCCAACCAGGGATCAAACCCACGTCCCCTGCATTGGAAGGCGGATTCTTAACCACTGGACCACCAGGGGGGTCCCTTCCCTACTTTCATGGCCATAATTTATAAAGTACCTGTGTAATTTTAATGCCTCACTGATTTTACTTAGCTTTCTTTTTCATTGTATTCATTGGTACTAAAAGATGCACTAGGCTATAAAGCCCTGACATCAGTCCAACACTGAGAATCTGAATCAAAGCACTGTGGTTAAAGAATATATAAATAGACCTTGGTGTTTTTCTGCTGAGTCTGTTTGGGGAATGCATAATGATTAGGATTCTTTCTTTTCTGTTTTAAAAAGTTGACTTCTAGAGAAGTAGAAGTCTGTTTTGATATGCTATTTAAATGTTCCATACAAACTCAGGCATGTTTCTAAAAAGGAAAGAAAACACCAGCAATAAAACCAAAAAAGCAAATGAGGCAACTGAAAAAGAACAATGCATCCAGATGTTTACACTGTCGTTACTGCCACTTCCAGGTCTTCTTCAGTTTGGCCCTAGAACATTTGAGAAGCCCAAGTATTCAGTTTAGGGGCCATGCATATGTGTCTCTTTCACCACGATTGATCCACTTATACCTATGTATTTTTCTCTTTTCTTTTCTTTCTTTTTTTTTAAAAAATAAATTTATTTATTTATTGGCTGCGTTGGGTCTTCATTGCTGTATGCGGGCTTTCTCTAGTTGCGGCGAGCGGGGGCTACTCTTTGTTGTGGTGTGCGGGCTTCTCATTGCGGTGGCTTCTCTTCGTTGCGGAGCACAGGCTCTAGGCACGCGGGCTGCAGTAGTTGCGGCACATGGGCTCAGTAGTTGTGGCTCGCGGGCTCAAGAACGCAGTCTCAGTAGTTGTGGTGCACGGGCTTAGTTGCTCTGCGGCATGTGGGATCTTCCCGGTCCAGGGCTCAAACCCATGTCCCCTGCATTGACAGGTGGATTTTTAACCACTGTGCCACCAGGGAAGTCCCTTTTTCTCTTTTCTTCCGGTGAGGAAGATAATGCCTCTGTGTGGCAGAACTATGAGTCACTGTGTACGTCCAACAGTGAGATGGATTCCTCCCAGACTTATTAAGGAGCGAGGTCACTGGCCTCTTTTGGCTTTCCTAGACTAGAGAAGAAGACAGGAACCAGGATGGGAAAATGGACATGTTACATTTTAAACTGGAGCTTCCCCTGCAGTCCACGGAGCACGTTCTTGGTGTGCAGCTCATCTTGACTTTCTCCTACCAACTGCACGTGAGTCCTCTCCCTTTTGTCTTTCAATAGAACAGAGCCCCCTTTCTGATTTCTGGGAAAACCCACACTGCAGAAGACTTTTCAGAGGTGTCGTTTGGGATTTCACTGCAGAAGTTAAATTTGAATGTTTTTCATTGAGGTCACATTAATTTACATGAGCTATTAATAGGTCAGAGGGTTCTGGGCAGAGTGCTTCCTGCATGGCTGAGTGAGGCATAGGAGGGATGGCTAGGCTTCAACTACAGACAGGTGACACTTAGAACCCAGAGCCCCTTGGATCTGGCTGAAATTGATACTGTCTCTCCTTCTAATGACTTCAGAGGATGTCGACATTCGTGATGCAGAGCATGGCGTTCTTCCAATCCTCCTTCGCTGTTCCGGGGTCCCAGTTATATGTGAACGGAGACCTGAGGCTGCAGCAGAAGCAGCCCCTAAGCCATCGTGGCCTAGATGTTCGGTACAACGTAAGGATATTGCTTACTGTCCATCTCTTTTCTTTCTGTATGTTACTGTTGTGTGTGTGTGTGTGTGTGTGTGTGTGTTGGGGTTTTTTTTTTGGCCGCACCACGCGACATGTGGGATCTTAGTTCCTGGACCAGGGATCGAGCCTGTGCCCCGTGCATTGGAAGCGTGGCGTCTTAACCACTGGACTGCCAGGGAAGTCCTTGTATGTTACTGTTTGTCAAGTTCTTTGAAGAGGGAGAAAGGAACGTTGGAAATAGCATGTCTTTGTGGGTAGCATAGAAAAGGATTTCTGAGGAATTCTTACCATGAGTTATTTTAAAATATGGAGACAGATACCCCTGTATTTACATGTAAAAAGAGAGGAAAAGAATATGTCTTTGTTTTTAAGAATTGAATTGCTTATAGTTTTTGGGTGCGCGTACGCGTGGGCACACACACACGGTGTATTTATTTCAGTTGATCTTTTTCAGTTCATGTAAAATATTTGAAAAAGAATACTGGGACTTCCCTGGTGGGGCAGTGGTTGAGAGTCTGCCTGCCAATGCAGGGGACACGGGTTCGAGCCCTGGTCCAGGAAGATCCCACATGCCGCAAAGCAACTAAGCCCGTGCACCACAACTACTGAGCCTGTGCTCTAGAGCCCACGAGCCACAACTACTGAGCCTGAGTGCCACAGCTACTGAAGCCTGCGCTCCACAACAAGAGAAGCCAGCGCAATGAGATGCCTGCACACCGCAACGAAGAGTAGCCCCTGCTCCTGGCAACTAGAGAAAGCCCGCGCGCAACAACAAAGACCCAATGCAGCCTAAATAAATAAATTTATTTTAAAAAAAGAAGAAGAAAAGAAAAAGAATACTAACCATGATTTGTTAAGCATATAACATGCCAGCCTGAGTTAAGAGATTTAAATGTGTTATCTCATTTAATCATTACAGCAACCTCATGAGATGCCTTCTCTTGCAACTTCCCTGCTCTCCAGCCGCTGGTCCTGTCATTGTCCCCCTATGCTCCTTTCTAGGTTGCTTATCCTATTGCCCCATTCTGGTCCCTGTTCAAAGCTCCTGAGCACAGTCCTTCCCTGGCACTCCTTCTAAAGAACATTTACTTGTCCCTCCATCATTCCTCACCCAGGTTTACTCCCCTTACCTCCACCCGAAATATGAAAGAGAGGTTTTCAGTTTGTTCATTTGCCATCTCCCTCAGTGGTAAAAGCACTGCCGTCTTCTGTCTTCTCTCACCCCAGCGCTTGAAACAGTGCCTGCTGCATTGTAAGCACTCAGAGTTGATGTGAGAATGAACTCTCATCTCACACATGAGGAAACTGGAGCTTACAGGGATTGATTAATTTTCCCAAAGTCCCACAGCTTGAAAGTAACGGAGCCATGAATTGTCTCTCTGAGGCCAGAACTCATGCATCTGATCACTTTTTACTAACCTTTACATTATCACAGGGAGGCCCGTATAAGTTGGCCTGGGCTACTTTTTTTTTTTTTTTTTTTTTTTTAGTATTTATTTATTTGACTGCACTGGGTCTTAGTTGCAGCACAAGGGATCTTTGTTGCCACGTGTGGGATCTTTGGTGTGGTATGCGGGATCTTTTTTTTAGTTGCAGCATGCGGGATCTAGTTCCCTGACCTGAACCCAGGTCCCCTGTGTTGGGAGCATGGAGTCTTAACCACTGGACCACCAGGGAAGTCCCTGGCTGGGCTACTTTAGAAAATGAATATGAGATGTTATCATTTGTTATAGGCATAAGCCAGGACTGTTCCAGATAAATTGGGATTCGTGGTCACCTAGCTATAATCAACATACATTTTGTTTTGTTTTAATTAATTTATTTTTGGCTGCTTTGGGTCTTTGTTGCTGCACGCGGGCTTTCTCTAGTTGCGGTGAGTGGGGGCTACTCTTCGTTGCGGTACGCAGGCTTCTCATTGCTGTGGCTTCTCTTGTTGTGGAGCACGGGCTCTAGGCACGCGGGCTTCAGTAGTTGTGGCTCGCGGGCTCTAGAGTGCAGGCTCAGTAGTTGTGGCACACAGGCTTAGTTGCTCCACGGTGTGTGGGATCTTCCTGAACCAGGGCTCGAACCTATGCCCCCTGCATTGGCAGGTGGATTCTTAACCACTGTGCCACCAAGGAAGTCCCAACATGCGTATTTTAAAAAGGAGGAGACTATCAGATATATACTTAATGTAGCACTTTTTATTTGAAGGTTTGTATATTACATTATGTCAACAGGAATATGATATTAGAGGGCAGATCTTTCTTTTCTTCAAAGGATTATGTGCTTACTGTTTGCGCTTTATCCTATTTCCATCTCTGTATTTCAAAGAGATCAATTAGAGAGAATCCAGGCAAGAGCAAGAAAAAGACAAAGGAGTTGAAAATGTGGTCTCTTAAAAAAAATTAATCATTTCTCCCATTGGAATAGAAAGGGGTATTTTATAAATAGCTTTTAACGTGTAGAAGGTGTAAAAGGTGGATATCGACCCCTTGTTTCCGTCCCTGCAAAAAGAAAGACTGAGAGTAAATGACTTAAATTGTTGCAAAGGAGTTCATTCATCCTTGAAGAAAAGATTATCAATACTGGAATGGGCCACCAAGCAAAAGAGGGTTGTCTCTGAGGTCAGCCTGGGTGGGCAGGAGGGTAGAAAAACAAGAGGGGAGGGCTTCCCTGGTGGCGCAGTGGTTGAGAGTCCGCCTGCCGATGCAGGGGACACGAGTTCGTGCCCCGGTCCGGGAAAATCCCACATGCCGCGGAGCGGCTGGGCGCGTGAGCCATGGCCGCTGAGCCTGCGCGTCCGGAGCCTGTGCTCCGCAACGGGAGAGGCCACAACAGTGAGAGGCCCGCGTACTGAAAAAAAAAAAACAAAAAAAAACACCAGGAAAAACAAGAGGGGAAGCCGCTTGGGTGCTCACATCACATCCTCCTGTCGAATCCCAGGTATCTGTAATCAACGGGACCAGCCCTTTTGCCCGTGACTACGACCTCACACACATTGTTGCTGCCTATCAGGAGAGGAACGGTGAGTTATGGGGAGAGTTCATTCAGCTGCTTCTCAAGGACTTTGCAGGTTAATGGCGTTATTGGAGAGAAACAGAATTAGAGCCCACGTCATATGAAAGTATCAAAACCAGTGAATGCTTGGGACTTCCCTGGTGACACAGTGGTTAAGGATCCGCCTGCAAATGCAGGGGACACGGGTTTGAGCCCTGATCCGGGAAGATCCCACATGCGGCAGAGCAACTAAGCCCGTGCGCCACAACTACTGAGCCTGCGCTCTAGAGCCTGCAAGCCACAACTACTGAGCCTGTGTGCCACAACTACTGAAGCTCTCGCGCCTAGAGCCCATGCTCCGCAACAAGAGAAGCCACCACAATGAGAAGCCCACACATCACAACGGAGAATATCCCCTGCTCGCTGCAACTAGAGAGAGCCCTTGCACAGCAATGAAGACCCAATACAGCCATAAATAAATAAATACATTTATTTATTAAGAACGAAACAGTGAATGCTCAGTAATGGAAGATGAACAGGTTGCTCAGCGTTTGTCCTTTTTCACCTGATCCAAAGACCCACACGCTAACCATCCCCTCCACTGCTCCTATGGTCTGGCAGGTTAGTGCCAGTTAACTGCCATATGTATCCCACCGCTGACTTGATGGGTTTATATGTATAGCTATGTGAGTTCCTCCCCACACCATACCTGTAAAAGAAGCCAAAGACAAGTTGCTGTCCATAGTTTTCAGATGGAAATAGGGACTGTGCATGACTCACCCCATGTCAGCAGCTGCAGTAGGAGAAAGCACCCAAGGTTCTAGCTGGAAGGCCGAGGGTATCCATCCCTTTCAAGAGGTGGGCTCTCAGGCTGTCCCTGAGTGTGTGCTTGACTCAGCACATCTGGCTGGTTGGTGGTCTGAGGTTTTCTCTAAAGGCATCTAAAGCATTACTTGGCAACCAGACATCATAGATACTATACAGAGACATTTAACATGTGAGGGGACTGCAATTCCAGTATTTCTTTCTGATTTTATGCAATACCCTAGCAGCGTTATTCCAAAAATAAAGAATTTTAGAACACAAAAACATTTATCTACAAATCAACTTTTCTTTCTTAATTCCTTCCAGTCTTTGTACATGTGTAGATTTTTTTATACAGCTTCTATCATAGTTTATTATTTATTTATTTTGGCTGCACCGGGTCTTAGTTGCTGCATGCAGGATCTTTTTTTTTTTTTTAGTTGCAGCATGCGGACTTCTTAGTTGCGGCATGCATGTGGGATCTAGTTCCCCGACCAGGGATCTAACCCAGGCCCCCTGCATTGGGAGCACAGAGTCCTCCCCACTGGACCACAAGGGAAGTCCCAGCTCCTATCATAGTTTAGAGACACTTTATGATCTGTCTTCTCTTTTGTACTTTGTAATATAAATATTTTCCCACACTGCTACAAAGTTCTAATTGGTTTTCTTTTCAGAGGTAGCATAGTATTCTTTTGCTTAGCCGTTCAACAATTGTAGAACACAGAGACTGTTTCCAAGTTTTAAACTTATTTTAACAAGTATTTTAACAAATAATATGTGAGCAACTTTGAACATTCAGTTTCTCTTTCCTTTTGAATTATTTCTTTGCTATGAGTTCCGAAGTGCAGAATTTGCCTGAGAGGTCAGAGTATTTTTATAGCCCTCAATATTTTATTGCCGAAGAGAGTGTTCATGGATTAACTCCCCATTGTGTTGCAGTAACCACCATCCTGACTGACCCCAACCCCATCTGGCTGGTGGGAAGGGCTGCAGAAGCTCCATTTGTGATTAATGCTGTCATCCGATACCCCATGGAAGTCATCTCATATCCTTTCTGTTAAAGGGCCAACAGTAGCTGGGTTTCAAAAAAGGAAAGGATTCCTCAGTTGTCCCAGGAAGGAACAGATGTGGGAAGCCTCAGACTGGAAATTGCTGCATTTGTAGCCCCCACGCAAATGACTGTCTGTCTGCAGTTCATAC